GCCATCCCTGCCGCATTCGCCTCCCTCTGGCCCCAAATAGGTCAATCTTCAACTCCGTTGTGGAGTCTGTGACCCCAAAGCATCATGGGATGTTGGAGTTGGAAGAAGCCCCTTGCAGGCTAAGGAGTCCAGTTGACCAATTCAGTATCATGTAGGAGAAAAGATGCTGTGTTAAGGCAAAGGACACCTGGGCATCCTTGTCACGGCCCATCCAGTATCCAGTTGCCTGGCCAAGACTTTTAGTGTTTTTGAGACTCTATTTCTACAACTACGACTGAGGGGTAAGCAACACATGCTTGGTCTATCTTTAGGTTGTTCTGAGGATGGAATGAGATAGAAGGTGTGAAAGGTATTAGTAAAGTCAAAAGACAAAAATATAAGGGGTTATGATTACACGGATAAGAAAGAATAAAATGCAGTCATATGAAGGTCCCCTTACCCAAAGTCATCTTCTTTTTGATTTGGTGACACGAATTCAAGGAGCTCTGAATCTCATTCGTCACACTCGACAGAGTCTACTCCCCTTCCCCACCCCCCGCCAAATGTTGTGTTAACAACATTTATTGTGTTAACAACTGTGGTAACTTATTGTGTTAACAAACAATAATGGTTATCCCTGCTCTGAAGAAACTCATCATCTAGTGGGGTAATCTGTTTCCTTTTCAAAAATAAAATAGACTTTTGGGTATGGTACAGTGAAAACTGATGTACTTTTCTGTATGTATATTAGGTTCTATACAGAGTTTACAGAAAAGTAATCTAATTCATTTGAACTTTGTGTTTGAAAGACGCATTCACAGATCCGAATATAGCACAGCATTTTATCATTTATTTTTATCACTTAAATTTTACCATTTATTGCACTACATTTTTTTTTTAACCTATTCTAGTAGTGACGGGCATCTGGTTGTTTCTAGTATGGGGCGACGGTGAACAAGGCTGCCGAGAAGTTCCTTAGATCTGTCTCCAGGGGCACAGGTACCTGAGTTGCTCTGGGGGTAGACAGCTGAGTCGCTGGTTATGGGTAACTTCAAGTCTACTGGACGGTGTTAAACTGGTTTTTGAAGAGGTTGCTCCAGTTCTTCTCCCCACCAGGAATGTACGAGCCTTCTCCAACTGCTGTTGACAGACATTAACATTTTTGCCTCTCTGACCAGTGCTTTGTGGGATCTTATTGTGGTTTTATTTGCATTTTCCTGATGTGGAACCTTTCTATATGTCTATTGACCTTTTGGATTTCTTCTTTGGAGAAATGCTTCCTCAAGACTTTGCCTGTATCTCTACTGGTTTTTCCTTTTCTTACTGATTTGGACTGAGGATTACTTAAGAATTCTGGAACTCTAAGTGGACAGGTACCCGGGGATCCTGGTGTGGTCCAATGGGAAGAAGTTATAGCTTTGACATCTCTGAAGTCGCCAGCTCTGCTTCTTCTCTCAATAGGTCACTGGGAAAGATGGTTTTTCCATTATACTTTTGTTATCAATTTTTATCCTAATCGCATTATAGCCAATCCTCTGAAGTTGTTGAGACTTGATTGATGAACTACTGTACTGTCATTTTTGTAAAAACTCCAAGTGTGATGGGACGAACGTACCTTTTGCAGATACTTGTTGGAGGTCTGTGCGTGTGCATCATGTCAAGTGTTTTCTTTGTGCTCCTCAAAATCTGTACCGCTTATGATTTTTTTTGTCTGCTTGTCCTCATCGTTACTGAGTTGAGTACATCAAGATATATCGTTGCAATGACAGATTTGTCTATTTATCCCTATAATCCTGTCCACTTGGGCTTTACATACTACCAGACCATTTCTGCCCGCTTTTGCTGTGTTACAAATCCACATTATTGACCCACCTTGCTGTCACAGGATATAGGAAGCCCCTTCATCTGCCTGATGATGCCTGTAGCTCAGGTATCATGAAGTATTTCCTTCCACCTCCCTTTATAATTCTACTTCTCTCACTTTACAAAAGGAGGGCACCTCACTCACCCATTTCACTTCCCATAGTGCTTCATTGCTTCTGGAGCACCAAAGGGTTCTCTGAAATATTTCTTATTAATACTAATCAAGCCTTGAGGGCAAGGCTTTGTGTTTATCATTGGTTAGACATATATGTGTTAGAGCACAGCGTTACATTAGATTATCATGGGATTTTCTGGCATATAACCCAAGAACATTTAAAAAGTTGAACGACATGACATAATAAAATTCCTCCTTTTTCTACCACTGATCTACGTAACCATCCTTTCCTGTTATTTACATATAGAAGTGGCAACAGAAATAGAATTTATTTCGAAACCTGTCTCATTCAACTAATCGGTAGCATTTACCACAGATTTGCAAACTAACTGAAAAACAAAAGTCCCAGCCATTTCATCAAGAAATATAGACATAATTTAATTTAAATAAAATATATTTAATGTGATTTAAACTTTTATGTTTAATACATATAAAAATTTATAATTATGCTGTTTTAGTTAATTTTATGCCAATAATAATTGCAATGGTAACAACTAGAATTTTTTTAACATTTGATCTTCATGGTCACATGAAATTAAAAAATGAAAATCAATTTTCCCATATTTTAGTTGCAGATAAGGATAATAGGGTAATGAATTAAAAAAAAAACCTTTAAATATAAAGATTTTTTAATGTAGAATTCTGACTTTAAGGAGAAAAAAAGAAGGATGTAAAATGTTTGGCTGTTAAAGATGAGTTAGTTCAGGTACATTTTAAACAGACAGCAATGGGAATCAAACTGCATAGTATTTATTTTCCATTGTGTACATTCATTTTTTTTAACTTTTTTTTTTTTGAGAGAGAGAGAGAGAGAGCAAAGCACACCAAAAGGCAAAAAGTTTGAAGAGACTGAGCAAGCATCAGAATCAGGCATGTTGGAATCATCAGGCTCGGAATTTAAACAACTATGGCTGAAATACTAAGGGATCTAATGGATAAAGTAGACAGTATGCAAGAACAGACAGACAATGTAAACAGAGAGATGGAAATCCTAAGAAATAACCAAAAAGAAATGCTAGAGATTAAAGACACCAAAAAACCCCACTATAATAGAAATGGAGAATGCGCCTGATGAGTTTAATAAACTGGACACATCTGAGCAAGGAATCTCTGAGCTTGAGAACATCTCAATAGAAACCTCCCAAGTAAAGAGCAAAGAGAATAAAGATGGGAAAACAGAACAGAGTATCCAGGGATTGTGGGATAACTACAAAAAGAGCAACATACATGTAATTAATGGGCACGCTAGAAGGACAGGAAGGAGAGAAAGAAACAAAAGAAACACTTGAAACAATAATCACTGAGGATTTCCCCCGAATTAACGTCAGACACCAAACCATAGATCCAAGAAGCTCAGAGAGCACCAAGCAGGATAAATGCCAAAAGAAGAAGGAGGAGAAGAAGGAAAAGGAGAAAAACCCCACACCTAGGCATATGGCTTTCAAATTGTAGAAAATAAAAGATTAAAAAAATCCTGAGAGAAGCCAGGGGGAAAAAAGATACAAATTACATCCAACTTCTCTTCCGAAGCCTTGCAAGCAAGAAGAGAATAGAGTGAAATGTTGACAGTGTTGAGAGAAGAAAACCACCACCTGAGGATTCTGTGCCCTGTGAAATTATGCTTCTGAAGAGAAGGAGTTTGAGCCTTTCTCAGATAAACAAAAGTTGATGGAATTTGTTGCCGATAGACATGCTGGCAAGAAATGTTTAAAAAGTTCTTTGGAGAGAATGAAAATAACGTGGGTCAGAAAGTTGGATCTATATTAAGAAGTACATCAAAGGATTAAGTAAAGGCAAAACGAAACTTTTGTTTTTCTTATTCTTTTTTTAAGATTTTATTTTTAAGTAATCTCTACACCCCACTTGGGGCTCGGACTCACAGCCCGAGATCAAGAGTTGCATATTCCCACTGACTGAGCCAGCCAGGCATCCCTGTTGTTCTTATTCTTAACTGATCTCACCGATAAAGGTTTGTTCAAAGTAACAACAGCAGGAGTGCCTGGGGGGTGGGGGTGGGGGGGGCTCAGTCGGTTGAACAGCTGAGCATCCGACTCTTGATTTCAGCTCAGGTCGCGATCCCAGGCTTGTGGGATCGAGTCCCGCATCGGGCTCTGCGCTGAGTGTGGATGGAGCCTGCGTAAATCCTCTCTCTCTCTCCCCTGCCCCGCCCTTCTCCTCTCTCTCCAACAAAACAAAACAAACGCGAAACAAAAAATAAACCCCCACCAAATGATAATAGCAATAATGTATTTGATTATGAATGCTCACATATATATACTTATATATAAGTGAAATGATATCTGGGGGCCCTGCACCATCCTCTAAATTTTGCTATGAACCTAAAACTTCCCCCACAAAAGAAAGTCCTTTAAAAAAATGTCTATGGTAGGGATGGACATTAGTGTTGTTAAAAAAATAAGGGGCACCTGAGTGATTCAGCTGGTTAAGAGTCCGACTTCAGCTCAAGTCATGATCTTACTGCTTGTGAGTTGGAGCCCCGCGTCGGACTCTGTGCTGACAGCTCAGAACCTGGAGCCTGTTTCAGATTCTGTGTCTCCCTCTCTCTCTGCCCCTCCTCTGCTCTTGCTCTCTCTCTCTCTCTCAAATATAAAATAAAACATTAAAAAAAATAAAAGTGTTATGAGAAGAAAGGAAAAGCACAATAAATTGCAATTGGAGAAATGTGTGAAGAAGTTTCCCAGAAGACATGTCATTTGAACAAATTTTGAAGAATTAATTAGATTTTCTTAGATTTGGCACAGGGGTGGGGAAGGGAGGCCCTTCTGCTTCAGAAAAAGAACTGCACGAGGCTTTATTTATTTATGTCTGTACCGAGCACATACTGAGCGTGTTGCTAGGTGCCGTGTAGGACGCAGAAGTACGAGAACTTTCCACTATGAAAACAAGACAAAACACATCACATGGGGAAAAAAAAAAGCGTGCTGTTAAATTCCACGGTGTAATTAGGTGTCAATATTATCAGCAGGACCCAGAGATGGGGCAGACCATTGCCTGAAACAATTTGCAGCACAGTGAAAAGAAGCCTACCGGGGACCGGGGGAGAGATGAGAGGTACATTCTTACCACCCCCTTTCCTTAGTCTTCTAGCTTAAAAGTATTATTATTTCTTTTTTTAATATTCATTTATTTATTTTTCAGAGAGAGAGAGAGAGCCAGAGAATGAGTGGGGGAGGGGCAGAGAGAGAGAGAGAGAGAGAGAGAGAGAGAGAGAGGGAGACAGAGTCTGAAGCAGGCTCCAGGCTCTGAGCTCTCAGCGCAGAGCCCCACATGGGGCTCAAACCCATGAACTGCAAGATCATGACCTGAGCCAAAGTCAGATGCTTGACTGACTGAGCCACCCAGGCACCCCTGTTATTTCTTAATGCTATATGAGCGATACCTGAAAACACTTGGACAAGAAATTCAAGTGTAAACAGTAAAAGCAAATCAAAGCCTCCCTTTACCACTTCCAACTCCCCTCTAATCCTATCTCTCTCCCCAGATAGAACTACCATTGCCAGTTTGGTATGAATTCACTCAGGACTTTATGCATTTATGTACAAGTAGGTACATACACAAATACACAGGGGTTTGTTTGGTTTTTTTTTTGAGTTCCTGCATCTTTTATATAAATGATTCTGAACATTTCGTCAACTCTTATTTTTACTCCAATATATTTAGGGAACTTTACATGTCAGTCTATTTAGATATACCTCGTTATTTTTAACTAGTATTCCATGGTATCCTTAGTTCCTTAACTATTCCCCTCTGATCAACCATAATAGGGGCAACCCATTAAGGTTCTACTTAATTTGAACAATAGCAACAACAACAACAACAACAACAACAACAAGAATGAACCCCAGGCTGCGTTTAGTAAATGGAGCCCTCACTCTAGGGAGGCATAACCCTACTGCTGCTTCCAAGATCTGAATCAATGCACAGATCCAGAATGGAGGGGCATCTGGGGACCCTTGAAGAAGAACACAGCAATGGTACTACAAGGGTGACCTGAGGATCTTTTCCCAAGCCTTCCCCAAAGAGACTGGTGGTCTTTGACTAAGTAACTATACATGAGAAAAGAGAAATACCAAGAGCTCGACAGCCATGGTGGTCCATCAGTGAGGGTGGGGAGTCCAGTGGGCAGGGGAATAAATAGTGCTTAGATATGAGATATGCCTCATAGGAGGCTCCAAACTGGAAGAATGTTCCAAGATGTTTGGGGTGGAGAAGGCAAGACTAGATAGAGCTCTCTGCAACACTACAGATTAAAGAAATGAAGATAACAACAAGATACCCATTCACCAAGCTGAGTGGTAAGTCAATCCATCGTTCATGGGATGGAAATCAGTGTTTGCCTTTTGACCCGGCAAACTTACTTTCAGAAATTATCCCATAGAATTGCCCTCACATGTAGGTAGAGGGAGGAAAGCAGAGAGTGAGAGAAGCTGGTAAACTTCTGTTTTACTTAAATCATGGGCTTAACCTCTGGGATAAGGTGTTTTGAACCCATCTGGTCATTACTTTCCAAGTTCCTGAGGGTAGTGTTGAAACTGATACACTTAGAAACGGGCAGAATCTTTACTCTGGATCCTGAATCCCCCGGAGTGAGGGCTGTTATGAGTGGGAAAACCCAGACCTCCCCTTTTTACCATATCAAAGAGTAAAATTGCATCCCCGGAAGGACTGCAGCAACTTGAAGGATGCAGGAGTGGCAATTTTTATCACATATGCAATTTACCTGATGAGGTGGCTGAGGCACAGCTTAGAAGAACATGGAGAATGGAATGACAATGACTTTCACTGCATCTCTTTTACAGATGTTGTCTCTTTCGTAGCCCCTGGTATGTCATTATCAATTGGGCCAGTGCTTCTTCCCCTGTCCCAATAAACAGCGACACCAGGAGCGGTTTGCTTTCCCATGACAGGGACTGTCGAGTACTTGCAACATCTTGGCCTCAGACATATCAGCTACATGGTTTTGTTCCTCAGTCTTTTTTTGTTGTTTTGTTTTTTTAATTTAGAGAGAGAGAGAGAGAGAGAGAGAGAGAGAGAGAGAGAGAACGTGCAAGTGGGGGAGAGGGGCAAAGGGAGACAGCGAGAATCCCAAGCAGGCTCCATGCTTGGCTGGACATGGGGCTCGATGCCACCAGCGTGGGATCGTGACCTAACCCGAAATCAGAAGTCAGGCGCTCAGCTGACTGAGTCACCCAGGCGTTCCTGTTCTTCAGTCTTGTACTTAGAAACCTTGATCCTGTCACCAACCCATAGGACATAGTCCTGGTCCTCTATACTGATGTCTCTGTGCTAAGCGGGCCTGATGAGCAGGAAAGAGCAGACACCCTGCCTGACTTGGTAAGATACTTGGATGCTGAAGGGAGGAGATACAGCCCAAGAAAAATCAGGGAATTGCCACATCCGTAAAGTTCCCGGGGGTAGGGGGGGGGGTCCAGACATCTGAGTTATGTTGGATACTTGCTCCAGAATGGAAGGCAAGGCTGACAGACATAAGGTACTTTATAGGACATCTTTGGAGAAGTAAAAGCTTGCCAGCTTTGAGCGAGGCCCAGAGAAACAATGCTTCTCAAGCTATACCAGGCTGCAGTGAAGGTAGTCTGTCCCTAGTCTAACCCAGAACATCCAATGGTGTTCAAGTGCGTGTGGCAGGTTGGGCTGTGTGGAGCCCAGGGCAAGCCTCAACATGAGAAAAGTAGTATGAAGGGTACTACATACATGGCCTAATATACATGTTTCCTTCACTGTAATTTCCTTTTGCTATAGTACCACATGAGTTTTGTTGTTAATGTATTTTTTTTTAATTTTTAAAAAAAGTTCATTTGTTTTTGAGAGAGAGAGAGAGCACAAGAGCAGGGGAGGGGCAGAGAGAGAGGGAGACACAGAAACCGGAACAGGCTCCAGGCTCTGAGCTGTCAGCACAGAGCCCGACGCGGGGCTCGAACTCATAAACTGCGAGATCATGACCTGAGCTGAAGTCAGACATTTAACCGGCTGAGCCACCCAGGCGCCCCCTCATTCAGCTCTTCTGACCACAGGCAAGCAGCTTATTTCAAGTAGTACAAAGATTAAAGAGGGCGACCTAGGAGCCAGAAAATTTACGCCCATTACTGAGGGCAAATGAGGGTAAACTGAACACCTGGATAGAGTTCCTCATTAGACTGAGTGGTCGAATTTGGTGTCGGAAAATTCCTGGACTAATCATCAGACTAAAGTCCAATGCATTACAGTTCTGTTTTGGGAAGCATTCTGGACTCACTCATTTTGATCACGCTTCTTCCATGTGGCACAGAAAAGTGAAAGAAGGCTTCTCTGGAAGGCATTCTAATTGTATCAAATTTGAATCAACTACTTTGTAAGTTGCAGTATTCCAGGAGTATATATAACCAACTACACACTGAACATTGAAAACATTCTACAGCATACATTAGAAAAAACATTCCCCTCCCCTCCTGATTTTATAAATGGAGCTTACATTTGTAGTTTCTTTCTAACATAATTTTCATCTAAGCTTGATTATTTTACATATATAAAAAAATAGTTACATCCTGGATAGGAAGGCTGAGTGGTTTACTCTGTTACCTACTACTAAGGATGGGATGAGTGGTTATGATGTGCCCCTGAGGTGATGTAGAGTGAAGCACACAGCATCACACATGCAGTACCCTTGCCTAATAAAAAAGAAAAAAAAAAATGGAACCTGAATCTCATCAACCAGTGGATCCAACAACATGTTAAACCATATCATAAGAATACAATCAGGCTGCCGGTGCCTGGGTGGCTCAATCGATTAAGCATCTGACTTCAGCCCTCATGATCTCATGGTTTGTGAGTTTCAGCCCCACATTGGGCTCTCTGATGTCAGCACAGAGCCCACTTCAGATCCTCTGCGCCCGCCCCCCTCTCTGCCCCCCTCCCCTGCTTGTTCTCTCTCAAAATAAATAAATAAACTTAAAAAAAAAAGAATACAGTCAGCCTAAAGTTATCTTTATGCCAAAGAATAGCGTTCCTTTTCAGATTATTGGTATACGTGATTGAACTGGTTCCAGAAAGCTAAATATTTACACACTCACCATAGTGAGCAAGAATTCATCTTACTGCACTTTGACCAGAATTGCTCATAATCATCCATTTTAAATTATGTACACTATTTGAATTAGGCAAGATAGTATTTGTTATTGCATTAATTTGAACACAATTGAGGTTAAGTGCATTTTTTGCTTATTGATTAGCTATTGTTTTCTTTTTTCAGAATTGTGTATTCATATTTTTTGCCCATTGTTCTGTTCACTCCTTGATATTTTTCTTGCTTCTACATATGAGGCTTTTATTTGGTAAAGAGATTTACCCTTTATTAAATTTGCTGCAATTTTTTCCAGCTTCTACTTGGTCTTTTAATTATGTTTATAGTCTCATATAATTTTAATGTTGCTAAACCTGCCACTACTTTCCTTTGAGTTTCTAGCATTGCTCTTGAACTTAGGAAGTTTCTCCTTATTTAGAGAGAGATTCTCCTGACCAATAGAACCTGACAGATATACAACTCTACTTTTTTTCTATTTATTTCTTGATGTTTATATACTTAACAGTTTAATCTATCTAGACATTTTTTGGTATAAGATATAATAAAACTGGATCTAACTTATTTTTCCCCAAATAACAGCCCTGTGGCTTGAACACGATATTGATAATTCTTATATTTATGTAATTATTAGTATGTGAAGTTATAAAGTTATCAAGACCCAATGTTCCTGCTTTATTGCCAATCTAGAAAGAGCGGTTTTGCCAAAATCTGAATGGCTTTGGTCTTGATGTATTTTTGCTCAATTTTGTTGTTTTCTTTGAAGTAAAAACGGATGCTAGCTTTTCCCTCCCTTATGTTACTGATTAACAAACAAGAGATCAACTCATTTGCATTTTATAATAGTGAATAACTTCCTAATGCATATTTTGCAAGCTAATATTTAATTTTCACTAACAGCAATAAATTTTGATTTCTGTTTGCACGCACTATTCTAAAACTAGGAAACCCAATTCCTTAAATCACTACAAGTGAAATGCTGACTGATTCTAGTTTTAAAATGTACTCCTAAAGAGAAGTTCAAAAATGTTTTAAAAAAATCAATTGAGGGGCGCCTGGGTGGCGCAGTCGGTTAAGCGTCCGACTTCAGCCAGGTCACGATCTCGCGGTCCGTGAGTTCGAGCCCCGCGTCGGGCTCTGGGCTGATGGCTCAGAGCCTGGAGCCTGTTTCCGATTCTGTGTCTCCCTCTCTCTCTGCCCCTCCCCCGTTCATGCTCTGTCTCTCTCTGTCCCAAAAATAAATAAACGTTGAAAAAAAAATTAAAAAAAAATCAATTGACAAACAGAGAAAGTAATTAACACCCACATGTCTGTTGCACTAATGAACCTTGGGGGGGAAATGACAAGGTAAATTTCATCATGGGAAGAAGGGAAGAAGAGAACCACCTACCGGACAGCGTCAGAGTGGGTTGGCCAGACATTTCACAGAGAAGCCATGAAATCCAATGAGAACCCAGCAAGGCTGGTTTCTGGAATGCGCTGGAACATGTCTTTTAATATATTTAAA